GACCTGCGCCACCACCTCCTAGACCCTGCTAGACTCACCTGGGACGAAGCACGAAGAACCACGATAGCCAATAAGCCGCTACAACAGCAGCTGTCCCGGGAGATCAACAACTAGCGGGCCGAAGAACTCTTCGCGGACACCCTCCTGGACAGACCGGGACACAAGAACGTGCACCGCACCCACCTGACCAGCCTCTGAGGGATGGGCGCTGGCGACTGGCTCCTAGCCATTCCTACCCGCCCAGACCTTACCTTCACACCAGGGGAGCTCGGCACGGCACTGGCCTTCCGCCTTGGGCCCTCAGCCCATCCTGGGATGCTGCACCTGCAGGAGAGAGACCATACGGGACCTGAGCTTGCCAAATCACCTCCTCCACTGCAAGTACGTACCCCATGTCAAGGGCCTCCACAACGCCCTAGTCTTCTCCGCACTCCGCATGGCTCGGGAAGCACGGTTCATCACTTACTACGAAACCACACAGTTCACCGTCCCGGCAAACCGCAAGAGGGCAGACCTGGCGGTACGGAATGAGGAGAGTGGAGCAACGTGGGTCACGGACATCACCGTGACAGACCCAGTGCTGCAACGCCGAGACAAGGATGCAGGAGGTCAGCCAGGGTGGGCTGCCCGAGAGGCGGCCAGAGCCAAGGAGCGGCTATACTCACCCCGGCCGGCATACGTGGGGTTCTTTGCCCTGGCTGTCAAGACATACGGGGCACTTGCCACGTCCACGGCTGAGTTCCTCAAGTTGCTTGCCGATAATGCAGCCCTTGTCCGCTTCCGCTCCAACGAACTAACTTCACCGGCCAAGAGGCTCTAGTCGCACTACAGACAGCACTGGTCGGTCCTACTGCAGCGGCTACAGGCCGGTACCATCATCTCCCGCTCCGGGGAAGCACTCCAGGTGGCCTTACCCGCGCCCAGGTCTGACCCCTGGGCACCCAGCCTAGGGGACCTGTTTGCCACTCTGGACGTGGCAGATTCCTAGCTGTCCGCAGTTGTGGCACAGGAGGACACATAGAATAGAGTTGGGGTAGCCTAGCCCGTTAAATTCTTGAGCTGTTTTTCATCTGTATCCTGGTTCCACAATCAATGAGAATGACCGCTTGAGAGAGAAAGAGAGAGAGAGAGAGAGAGAGAGAGAGAGAGAGAGAGAGAGAGAGAGAGAGAGAGAGAGAGAGAGAGAGAGAGAGAGAAAGAGAGAGAGAGAGAGAGAGAGAGAGAGAGAGAGAGAGAGAGAGAGAGAGAAAGAGAGAGAGAGAGAGAGAGAAAGAGAGAGAGAGAGAGAGAGAGAGAGAGAGAGAGAGAGAGATCTGACTCACATGAGAGAGATTAAGCGCGAGAGAGAGAAAGAGATAGAGGAGGGAGGGAGGGAACAAGGGAGGGAGCAACTAGCACGGTGCCAGCGCGCCACCCGCCTGCGCGCAACGTATCAACGCAGCATTTCACTGTAGGTGCAACCCTTTGGCTTGCACTCGGCTTGTCGTCCTTGTTTGTGTGTGTGCATGCATGGCATGGAATGACCTGTGAGTCTATGTCATTTCTATCTAGTGCTTGTGTGTGTGTTTGAATGGTGTCTCACAATGTGGTGTGTGTCGGTCAAGACATTAGTGAGTTTTTACAACTCGCATGTCAAGTCGTCGTTTGTGTGTCGCATGTGTTTTTCTATTTTGTCGAGTGTGAAGAGTCCATCGCGTCGCAGGTGTGTGCAGCAAGCCCCCATCAACTCAAGAAGAATTTATCTTGCAGAACCAAGACCAAGAGCTCAAGATTTCATGCCCAAGGGACACGGATAAATATTAAATAGTGAAAATAGTAACGCTACTTCGTGTAGTGTTACATTTCACTTGGTGTAGCCCCTTGGAGGGTTTGTTTTGAGACTCTTCGTGGTTGGGGATTCTGTGGTGGTGTACCACCAACCTGGACCTCGGCTCTTGGGGTATGTAGAGGCTGTGAACCATCTCCCTCTCGAACTCTTCTTGCTAAGTTTGTACTCCTAAGACTATAGTGGCTACTGTACCTCCTGCCAGTCAAACCGCCATAGCGTCGTCAAAACTTCATGGAATTTCATGATTCAACTTGTTGCTGATAGGCGATAGCAACGCGCTCCAGATCCAATTTACAGATCACCGTTTGAGGCACTGATCAGATCGCTATCAATATTTGAAGCTGTCTGACGGAATTCTGACTGTGCACATTTTCTCTCAATTTAGGCACATCAGAGCCTATTGTGATTATAACATGCACTAGGCGCCAATGTGCTACTTGCCATAGTGCAAGTCTCTAGCACGCTAGGCGCCAATGCACCAGCGCTTTACGCCAGCATGCTAAGCGCCAGCGGGCAATGCACTAAACGAGTGCAGGCTTGCGGACTTACCAAATGCGGGCTTAGGGGATGGCATAGGGGCGTGTATCAATCCACAAAACGACGTCAACGTATGTTTTTTAGCTTAAGTTCGGGTTACCTTGTGGTAACCTTCTTTGAAGGTGTCGGGGCCGTGTATCAAGTGCACGTCGAAATTGTGTTTGACACCACGTAAAGACCCAATTTGACATCGCGTGCAAATCGGGACATGCAGAAAAAAAATTCAGCATACATGTCTGCATCAAGAATTGCATAAGGAATTCGGGTGGCCACGTCCAACGCACCACAAATTCTCGAAAAAAAAACCCCAGCCCACGGGCATTTGTGACACCCAGTACGTCAAGGAAGGCCCACAAAAGTTTACAGCTTGGCAATCTGGGCAGCCAGAAAACGTTTCGCCCGATACAGAGCCCCCTACCCATGTTGTCTGTGTATCAAGTATTGAGAGACTAGGGCCCTTTCTATTCACGTGCAATTCGACGTCAGTGCAAATCGGGTAGCAGAAATCCTCTGATGTCAGCTAAGCTAATTTGCAGTCTGACATCCATTTGATACACTGCCTAAGAAGCCAAGAGGAAGAGTCTAGGAGGAAGAAAGGAAAATACTACGCAGAACTAGGAGGAAGAAGTGGGTGCGTGCAAGAAACCAGGTGAGAGAAAATGGAAGGTACGATTACGAACATAGGAATTAGGAGGCACTCATAGCAAGCATCAGGGTGGCATGGGCAAACCTTGATAGGGGTGCGTTCTCCTCCACAGAAAGCTGGCCAAGTACAGATCAGTACCCATATTGATGTGTCATCTAAATTGTGCAACACAAGTGAAAATCAATTCAAAAACGTTCTGCCATGCATAATGTCAGGGCATTTCTACAAATTAAATGGGTTCGCGATTAAATATATGACCAGAATAAGATGGCTTTGCGATTGTCTCAGCTCTATCATACACAATATTTCCTCTAAACAACACCCATGGAATGCAAAATTCCTGATTTGGGAAAGATGTTTCGTCAGTGTTTCATTCCAAATTTAACGATGAACTCCACAACCCTCAGACGACTTCGTTGCCTCTTATTTTTCTTCGAAAAAATCTCTACCGCATGAAACAGGGCCCTCGCTTGTGGGAACGACATCTACATCTTATTCTTATCTCCTTAGATTTTGTTCAACCGCCCCATAATCTCAAGACGTATCACCTCGAGTTCCGTGGCAAATACATTCTTCTCGTCGCCTACACCGACGATCTACTATACACCGGCTCGAGCAACGAACTTCTAGAGTGCATGGTGGTATGCATAAAGACTGCCCTTAAAGTCATTATTTCCCCAAACGTCATCTATTTTCTCCGGCTCAATGTGGACCAAGGCCCAAACACGATTTACCTCGTAGCCAGCAAATACGTTGAGACTCTTCCGTACAAATTTTCCATCACACTCATCGGCCTCATCACACCCTTTTGGCTCATTATTCTTGATCACACACCAAATACTACCCCACTTAATGCTTTTGAAAATCAACTCTACTAGCAGCAACATGGGTGTGTTTTCTTTGCAGTAATAACGTGTCGCCTTAACCTTGCCTAGATCATCAAGCAGCTCACGTAGTACATGCGACGACATGAAGGGGAGCATATGGTGGATCTCAATTGAGCTCAAAAATATTTTCTTTCCACTCCCTGTATTGGGCTGAGCTACTCAACAAATATGTTTTCAACTTTTTGGTTGTCTTGTTACGTTGACGCTGAGCATGCCACTAGCCCCAAGATCAGACGTTCACACTTGGTTGATTTTCAAACTCAAACCTACAAGAGTCATTTCTGGGAACTCTACAAAACATGAAGAATTGCGACAACAAGAAACTTTTAGTTACCATGTAACAACTAGAGTGCGATGAAGATCCTAGAAACCCATATACGTGAATAGGGCAAAATACATTTCTCTATGTTTCTTCTTCATCAAAGACAGGATCAACTAGGGGAAGGTGGTCATGAAATATTACCTCTACAGAGAGATGGCGACAAAGTGTACAGCTTAACTTTCATGAAGTTGACAATATTTTATTAATGGCACGATACCTCATATGGAAGGACGCACAGTAACGAGTCAACGTGTGAACTAGGTTCCTGCGTTAGGTCATCTAGAGACTCATGCCATTCTAGGTCACACGAAAGGGCACCACTCTTTGTCACATGAATAGATATCATACGCACTATATGTACAAGTACTTATACAGTATGATCGTCTATGTTACTCAATATTATTATGAATTTCATTGCGGACCATTCGTTACTGCGCTCAATCAGCTAGCGCACATAAAAATTCCACTCTTTAGTATCGCTTGCGCATGATTGTCTTATAGGGTTTCCTTGAGTTGTGTTGGGTTGTGTTGGGTTTTCTTTGTGTTGTGTTGTGTTTGTTGAGAATTGGTAATGATAGGTTAGCTCTTTGTTACGAAAACACCTCTCTTTACTGTGCATATTGCGTACTAGCGCGAACAGTCGTTATCATCTGCCCTGTCTGGTTACCACTTGTTTGCACGTTGCGCATTTCATTGACCTCGCTCAAGTTAGCTCTGCCGAGTCACTTGCCAACGCTTCGAACTCGCACGCTAACTAAATATCTTAGCCACGTCACTAGACGTTACCCATAGCATTGTGCCTATAAGTGCTTTGCATGTATCTTTTGCTTAAATTTATATTCGCCCTTTCCGCAACCTCATCCTCGCTACTAATAGGGCGTTCGGCAACACCCAGAACGCGGATCATAATACTTGAAATCAGAGCCCTGAGTCCTTAGGCAACCCGATTTTCCGCCACTAAGTTTTTTACTAGTGCCCACACCTAGAGGGGGAGGCTAGATGACTTCCTAGAATTACTGGAGTTATCGCACAAAAGCTTACATTAATTAATCGACTGGCATCCTCTCACAATCTGCAGTAGATGCGCGATCACCTCGAAGTAATACAAGCCGCCATGGGCCACAAGTACAGCGGTACTATTTTTGGCCAGATATGGTTAGCAATGTCGAGCGATATGTGGCGAGTTTCCCCACATGTCAGGCCATGAAGAAACCATGGACGAAGCCACTGGCCAACTCAAACTGATCCCGCCACCCGAACGACCTTGGCAGAAGGTGACGATGGATTTTGTCACGGATTTACCAGCTAGCACAAGTGGTAACGACACATTGTTTGTCGTTGTGGACCGGCTGACGAAGATGACGCAACTCGTGGCATGCACGAAAAGCATTATCGTCGAACAGATAGCGAAACTTTTCATGGCTTCAGTGGTTTGCTTACATGGATTGCCAAGCGCCATTCATCAGTGATCACGACACCAAATTCGCTAGCAACTTTTGGAGTACACTCTAAAACGAATGGAAAGATGGAAACATGCCATGAAAACAGCCCAACGTCCCGACCCATAATTGAAACAATAATAGAGCCAGTCAGGCTATTTAGCCGTCGCGTACGGGACCTCCGTGGTGCTCACCACATTGAATTCCTGGTTCAATGGAAGGACGAGATGACAACAGAGGACTGCTGGGTACCTCTGGAGTGTGTTCAGAGGTCCAAGCTCCTGTAGGTGTATTTGCGGGAATGCTATTTGCGAGATATGTGTGCATTCTCGTAGAGGGGGGAGGTGGTGTAAGGAAAACGCTGTTCTTTACAATTCATCCCATTCACTCGCACATATAGTCATTCCCATCGGCTTTGCCGGGTTATCAATTGTTAGTCAGCTGCGCATTTCGTCGACCCAACTCATGTTATCATTGCCAAGTTACTCGTTGAATAAGCTCGCGCTTATTGTCTCAGAGTAGCAAAGTGACTAGAACAAGGCACTAAATGAGAGATCCAGGGTTGGTATTGTACCCTCTAGGAACACAACCCTCTCTAGCCTATACCTTCTACATATAATGCATATCTATAAGTTGACACACCCCCTAGGCTAGATAAGGGGCAGTGCCTAGAGAACAAAAAACTCAGGGCAACACTACTAGTCCAACCTCAGAGGCAAGGGCTCAGGGGCTGAAGACCAATCAGCAAGAGTACAAACAACAAGAGTAACCCAGAGCCACACTACTAGTCCTGCCACTAGGACAAGAGCCACAAGGCCATTCAAGATAATATAAGGTGAGGAGCTACTGGAAATAGACCAAGTTGTACGCAGTGCCACTGATGATCTTTAGGCGCAAGCGCCTTGCTAAGGATATCAGCTGTGTTGGCGCTGGAGGTCAAGTATACCACGCGTGCCTGGACACGCTGCTGTAGCTCATGCAGGAGGAAGTACCGCAGCTGGACGTGCATCTCTGTCTGCAGTAGCAAAGACCAAGTCTTCTACATTGACTAGGATGTAGAACATAGTCTGGCCTGAGCGAACGAAGAGAGGCGGGTCAGCAGAGGACGGAAAGAACTCGAGGTCTACTAGCATAGCGCGCAGCGTGTCGTGCCACTCTTGAGGCGCATGCCGCCGACCGTAGACCGGGCACTGGAGGAGCCACTCGGTCCCAGGAGGGAAAGTGCCAGAGAAGCCAAGCGAACAGCGAAGGTAGATCTGCTCATGCAAACTGCCCTGGAGAAACGCTTTGGAGAAGTCCATTGAGTGCAGCTCGTAGTCACACTGTGCTGCTACGTCAAGCAGTGCCCGAAGAGTGGTCATCGTCAGGGTCGAGGCGAAGGTCTAAAAGAAGTCAACACCCTCTCGCTGACTAAAGCCTCTAGCAACGTAGCGCGCCTTGAACACCGGCGTCTCTCCAGGAGGGCATTTTACGTTGAGGAGCCACCAGCCATCGACTGCGTTCGCCCCAGGTTGGGGAACTGCATTGACGTAGGTGCCGGTGGATCTCCGCGTCCATGGCAGCTATCCGCTGAGAGACCCAGGGTCCCGAATTCGCCTCAACGTAGGTGCGAGGGGTCGAGATGACAAGAGCGTCTGGGTCACCCTCAAGGGCTAACAGCATGGAGTGGATATGAGGAGCCGCTTCGGAAAGGGAAGCTAGCTCGAATTGCCTGTCCTCGAGGATGTCACTGCCAAGGGCAGGTGTGTTAGAATATCCTACCATATTCACTAGTCTACATAGATTTGTTAGTCTTGAGTAGAGTTAAGCACTCCACTACTATTAGGGCGTAATAACCCTAATTCGAGGTTGGGTTCCCAATTTGGTTGGGTCCACAACTATTTGGGACCCCCAATAATTCCCACCAGAATTATTGGACCACCAACAATCCCAACCAGAACTACTGGTGGGGGCCAATAATCTTTGGCAACTCCCAACCAACCCTCCCTTCCTCCCTTTCCTCACATTCCTATGTAAACCCTATTGCTTTCCCACTAATCAACTTTTCTAAGTTCACCTCTTTCTCACAAGGTGCAACCCCGATGGACGGAGGATGGGCAGGGTCAGAGACCAGAGCAGTGGCATAGTCATTTGGCGTGTAGAGGCAAAGTCAGCGACGGCAGCGACAAGAGCATCGAGACTGGAGACAGGAAGTGTGAGAGTCCGACCTCGTTACACCACTTGGCCTTTTCTTATTTCCTTCCTTTTTCCTTTCTCTTTTATTCCATCTCATATGGTTTCCTATTCTTCCTTTTCCATTAACCTTTGGTTTATCCTGCTATTATAATTATATCACCGACCAGGCTTGGGATGTACTAGTGCGCTCTATCTAGCGTAATCCTGCTGTAATCCCTTAAAGCCAATAGCCTTGCGTGGCTATACGCAGGGTGATTCTATCTTCTAGAAGGGTCTATTCCCCTAGGATAAGATAAACCTGGTTACCTGATGTACTCTGGAAGTATAAAAGTGCCTTGTACTGATCGATAGTGAAACCTTTCCTCGACACATTCGATCCTGTGGCACTTGGTATCAGCAGCAGCAGCGGGGATCCTGCCTCGAAAAACCGCCGGGGGCGACCAATTCGACGCCGATTCTGGTAAGCACCAGCTCCGCGATTTTCGAATTACCCCCTCCGTGCGTGTTTTGAACAGGATGGCAACCTTCGACAACACCGAGGTTACCCAGCAGCTCTTCGCGCGCATCGCAACCCTTCAGGAGGAAATGCGAGCGGATCGCGAAGCATGGCGAAACGAGTTCGAGCGAGTAACTCGACTCGCCGGAGCGCAGCACGAGACGACAACGGCGACGACGCAGCAGTCGCAGCAGTTTCTCGAGGCTCCGAAACCGCGCCCACCTGAGCCGTTCGATCCGAGCGATCGAAACTCCGACGCACGCAGATGGATCGCAGGAATGGAGATCTACTTCGCAGCCGTCGGATGGAGCTCGCCAGTCTAGGACGGTCAACGTGCACGACTCGCGGCGACACTGATGCAAGGGCCGGCACTCGAGTGGATTGGCGGCAACAGTACTTTCATCCACGGTGAAGCCACGTGGCAGCAGTTCCGCGCTGACCTGCTGAAACGCTTCGAGCCGATAAATTCCAGTTTCCTTGCCCGGGAAAAAATTCATCGACACCGAGAGTTCGGGAGTGTAGTGCAGTACATGCAGCAGATGGAGGAATTTTATAACCGCATTCTCGACCTGACCGAAGGGGAAAAAGTACAATCGTACCTCGCCGGGCTGAAGACCGAAGTCAAACGACAAGTCGCAGCATCAAACTACGCGAGCTACAGTGACATCGTTTCGGCAGCGGAGCGCTTCGACATGGTCAACGCCAGAACACGACGGACGCACGTCGGCAGTACGCGACAGGGCGACCGCTCGGCTCAAACCACGTTCGCCGACCTGATGGAAGTCGACAGATTTGAGGGGCGGCCACGTCCGAAAAACACCAATTACACGTGTGATTTTTGCGGGGTGCCGGGTCATCGAATCTTCGATTGCAGCAAAATGAAGGCCGCACGCGCAGAGTATCGGGCACGCAATAGTGGCTGAATTCCTTCAGCCAATCAGAAGCCAAAAAACGGGAGTCGCCAGTGATTGCGGATCTAGCTGGCGAAAATATAAAGATCCGAAAGGGCCGCGGGATTCCAGAAAAATCAACTTCGACGAAGATGATTCGACGCGAGAAGGAGGAAATGATGGGGGAAAATCTCCACCCCACAACTAGTCTTCGCCACGGAAAATCGCCGAGGAAAAATACGACTCTGTGAAAAAAGACTCTGCTGAGACAGGGAAACTCCTTGAAGACCCAAGAAATTATAAGAATTCATTAAAGTTATCTTATAAAGATGCTTTAATGAAAACATATGATTTTCGAGGAGCTAGAACCTTGGAGAAATTTCGGGAGGGACTCCAAAAGAAGCAGACAGCTGTGGAGATCATACCGGTACCGGACAACTTGGGGAAAAAATTAAGGAGTGTGGAAAGAAGCCGACCTTTCCACGGAGTCAACGTCCTCTCCCGACACCAGCCCACAACGACTACCCGTTCCCCAGGGAAGACGTCGGTGGAGCTGAAGCAGCTCAAGAGGAAGCTGGGGGTCTACAAGAAGCTGCACAAACCCCGAACTCCTCCTACGGATGCATCCAGTTCTTCGGCATCAGTGACGCGCACATTCGTCAGGGGAACTCCGGGCCCTGGAGAAGAGGCGTTCTCGAAGCAGCCTCGGCCAGCTGCCAGCTCAGGAGTAGATAGCAACACAAAGGTGTGTACGGAATATTGGGATGTACCCTATGACCCAATCAATGAAACTATTTTTGGGTACTCCGAGCAACGACTGCCCCTCATGCTCGAGGTCATCTGCAAAGGACGACGCCTCCAAGCACTCGTGGACAGCGGAGCATCACACACCGTCAGCGACAAGGTAGTGATCGACCGACTTCGGGAAGAGTACAAGCCTTCAGGATTCTCTTCAACGATGGTGGACGGCAGCAAGTTAGCAGTACACGGCGAAGCAGTGCTACACCTACAAATTGGACCACTGCGCTGGAGACCTGCACTCCCCATCACCAACATCCAGGGGCTTGACTTGATCTTCGGGCGAGACTTCCTAAAAAGATTCAACCCCGAGATCAACTGGGTGAACCGCACCGCAAGCATCTACAACAATGGACGGAGAGTACAGCTACCCAACTGGGACGATACAGGAGATATCCCAGTGGAGACACTCGCACGATTCGAGAAGGGTGTGAAGCGAACCGACACAGGGTTCCTGGCAATAGCAACAGAGGCGGAGAACGACAGGGAGAGAACCTCGGAACCTCCAGGAAAGATCAAGGAATTATTGAAGGAGTTCCAAGATATCCTTCCGGACGATCTTCCGAATGAGCTACCGCCATACCGAACGCAGCAACACGAGATCGTGGAGGAACCGGGTTCGAAGCCGACCTTCCGAGCACCATATCGACTCAGCCCTACGGAGCTGACCGACATGAAAAAACAAATCGAGTATCTCCTAGCCAAAGGACTCATCCGACCATCCACTTCGCCGTACGGTGCCCAGGTACTCTTCACACCGAAACCGGACGGAAGCCTGCGCATGTGCATCGACTACCGAGCTCTTAACAAGCAGACCATCAAGAATAAATATCCAATACCGCGAATCGATGACCTGCTTGACCAGCTTCGGGGAGCTACAGTATTTTCCAAACTGGATCTGCGGTCCGGATACTGGCAAATACGCATGGCGGACAACTCTATCCACAAAACTGCTTTCCGAACTCGGTACGGATCGTACGAGTATTTGGTAATGCCATTCGGACTCACCAACGCACTGGCAACGTTCCAAGCCAAAATGAACCACATTCTACGACCACTTTTGGACGAGTGCGTGGTGGTGTACCTGGACGACATACTCATCTACTCGCTCGACATGAAGCAGCACGCCGAACACCTGCGACGCGTCTTCGAAATTCTTCGACGAGAACGATTCTACGTCAAACTGTCTAAGAGCGAATTCGCCCTTGAAAAGGTTCAGTTCCTAGAACGCATGGTGAGCGCTCAAGGAGTTCACATCGACCCCAAGAAAATCGAGGCCGTACGCACGTGGAAGACACCCGAGAATGTGGAGGAGTTGCAGCAGTTCCTAGGCTTCGCTAATTACTACAACAGGTTCGTGCCACAGTATGCGAAAATCGCAGCACCACTCACGAATCTGCTGAAGAAGAACACGCCCTACAAATGGGAGCCGAAGCACCAGGAAGCCGTGGAGCAGCTGAAGCAAGCACTTACGTCCGCACCGGTAATCATTTTGCCAGATTCCGAACGCGACTACGTCATCGAAGCTGACGCCAGTGACCAAGCAGTGGGAGCAGTCTTGATGCAAGATCAAGGGAATGGGCTGCAACCCATCGCTTACCTAAGTAAGAAACTGCACGGGGCAGAACTAAACTACCCGATACACGACAAAGAGGCCCTGGCCATCATCATCGCTTTCAAAGCGTGGAGATGCTATCTCGAAGGACGAAGAACAACCGTCTACACTGACCACTGCAGCCTGAAATACTTGAAGACACAACCCAACCTTTCCAGGCGGCAGGTCCGGTGGATCGACTTCCTCGAGACACACTTCCACTACGACATCGTGTACAAGCCAGGTCACAAGAACAAAGCAGACGCTCTCAGCCGGCCTGCACACGTTGCCGCTATTCAGGTCGAAGGGATGAATCCACTACTCAAGGGACTCTTCACACACGGGTACGCCACCGACCCCGAAATTCCCTTAGCAGAAAAGCGACATCTGTTACAGTGGGACAGTGACATCGCGTACCGGAAAGGATCCACGAAAATCTGGGTACCCAATTACCCTCCTTTGCGCCAGTTACTACTCGAAGAATACCACGACCTCCTCTACGCCAAACACTTCGGTAGCAACAAGACGCTGACCGGTATCGCAAAGCACTACTACTGGCCCCAGTTAGCAGAAGATGTCCAGAAATTCGTCACCTCGTGTGATACATGTCAGCGGATGAAGAGCAGCAAGCAGAAGAAGGCGGGACTACTGCAGCCTCTTCCTGTCCCAGAACAACCATGGCAAGTGGTTAGCCTGGACTTCATCACCAGGTTACCACCTACCTCCAGCGGTCATGACGCTACATCATCTCACAACATGGCATTCCAACCACACTCATCTCCGACCGAGACCCCAAGTTCACCAGCAAGTTCTGGAAGGAACTAATGTCTCTCCTCGGGACCAAACTCGCCATGTCATCCGCTTACCATCCGCAAACAGACGGACAGACCGAGCGCCTCAACCAAATTGTTGAGCAACTCCTCCGAGCAGCCTGCAAGGACGAGATCTCCAAATGGGACTTGCACCTGCCCGTACTAGAGTTTGCTTACAACAATGCTACACATGCCGCTACTGGACAGACGCCGTTCTTCCTCTGCTACGGACGCCACCCACTCACACCACAAAAACCGACAGCATCAGCTACAGTCCAACCCGCACATGATTTCATCACAACCATGCATCAGCTTTGGGATCGGACCCACAAGCGCCTACTCGACATTCAACAGCAACAGAAGCGCCAAGCCGATCGCCATCGCAACGATCACACCATCACGGTAGGGGACCAGGTGCTTCTTGACACCCGCAACCTGGACATCCGCCATCTCCCATTTAAACTTCGACCTCGCTTCTGCGGGCCTTTTCTCGTTGAAGCACAGGTCACTCCTGTTACCTTCCGCTTACGCCTGCCCGCTACCTGGAAGATTCACAACGCCTTCCACGTCCAACTTCTGAAGCCCTATCGGGACCCGAACACGGTTTTCGTTGGACGCCAACCGCCGCCGCCACCGCTCGTCCTCGTCCAGAATGAACCCGAGTACGAGGTCGAGTCCGTGCTCGCACACCGCCGTCGTCGGAATGGCACCGTGGAGCTTCTCATCCGTTGGAAGGGTTATGATCCTTATGAGGACAGCTGGGTACCTGAGTCCGACATGGGTAACGCCCGTCGTCCTCTGCATGACTACCTTGTCAAGCAGGGTGTTACTTCTACCACCCAGCTTTGAGGGGGGGAAGTGTGAGAGTACAACCTCGTTACACCACTTGGCCTTTTCTTATTTCCTTCCTTTTTCCTTTCTCTTTTATTCCATCTCATTTGGTTTCCTATTCTTCCTTTTCCATTAACCTTTGGTTTATCCTGCTATTATAAGTATATCACCGACCAGGCTTGGGATGTACTGGTGCGCTCTATCTAGCGTAATCCTGCTGTAATCCCTTAAAGCCAATAGCCTCGCGTGGCTATACGCAGGGTGATTCTATCTTCTAGAAGGGTCTATTCCCCTAGGATAAGATAAACCTGGTTACCTGATGTACTCTGGAAGTATAAAAGCGCCTTGTACTGATCGATAGTGAAACCTTTCCTCGACACATTCGATCCTGTGACAGGAACTGACGGGTCGGTGACAAGGGAGGCGAGGACACGAGGAACAAGTGGACGAGCAGCACAGAAAGAAAGGAGTGGTCAAAGAAAGGAGGCGGAGAGACATCGAGCGACAACAGAGGAGGCGACGGGAGGAGAGGATCGGGAGGAGCACGAGTGGGAAGGGCGCAACAAAGTGTGGGAACGCTGAACAGGGGAAACAGGGCGAGCACGAGAGGCACGGTGAGTCCACCAGCGGGACGGAGGTGTCGGATCAGGAGAAAGGGGAGGAGAAACAGGTGGAGAACAAAGGGGGAAATGAGTCGGAGATGATTTTGGCGGGGGGAACACAGGGCCGTAGACTGGAGGAGGAGGCAGCGCTGGGGGAGGCACGGGCGGTCGATCAAGGGAGGGAAGATAGAGGAGGCAAGGGCGAACACGAGCAGGGACAGCCGCTGCTGCTGCTCCAGCAGCTGCTGTGGCTACGGCTCCACGCCTACGCCAAAACCACCAGCCGCACCACTGCTACCTCCAGGACTTACCATAACGCCTCCCCCAAGACAAGCACCCCCAGGACTAGCACCCCCAGAACTAGCACCGCCAGAACCAGAACCTTCCTCAGAGTCAGCACCCCCAGCGCCCACAGACCCCTGCTGCTGTGGCTACGGCTGCTGCGGCGGCGGCGACTGCTGCTGCTGCGACGGCTACGGAGGAGGAGACACTGGGGGTAAGGGTGCAGGCGCCGCAGAAACTTGCAGCTGGTCTTGGACCTCAGGGCTCCCGGAGTCAGCAGGCTCCTCCACCGGGCCATCCGAAGGAAGGGGAGTGACATGAGACACACCAGACGGGGCAGGAGGGGGAGCAGGAGCTACTAGAAGAGTGGGGACCAGGAACAGGGGCGGGATGATCGGGATACCTCAGGGGGGAAAGAAGGAGACGGACTCATCAAAGGTGACGTCACGCGAGTGAAAGAATCGGTAAGACGGCGGGTGGTAAAAGTGCCAGTCATACGCGTCAAGGGGGAAGAAAAGGATGACACGAGTCGTGGACGTAAGCTAGGCAGCCCCGTTACCACGGGATCCGATCAAGAAGAGGGTCAGCAAAACCTGTAGTCGCTGGGAGTGCGATCACATGTTAAGCTGGTGAGCGGCATTGCGAACTACGAATGGCCACTCAAAACGGGGTGCAGAGGGAAGGATCATCGAGGTACGAGCCACCTCCATGACCAAACCGATGCGTCGCTAAGCGACCCCATTTTGTTGTGGGGAGTCCGGCAGAGTGTACGTCTAGGTGGTGCCCTCCGCATGACAGATTTGGCCAAGCCGGAAGGAGGCAAACTCACCGATACGGTCGGAGTGCAGACGCAGCACGTGCTGGGCGCGGTGTACTCGAGCAGCGACGAGCCACGGATAAGAACGTCAGGCACGTCGGCCTTCTTCTCTAAGGGAAACATCGTGGTGTAGCGTGAGTAGTTGTCAGTGAGAACGAGGAAATAGCATTCGCGACGCCGCCCAAAGACGGGGGCAGGGCTCCAGACGTCCAAGTGCAGGGTCTGGAGTGGTGCTGTGGTGGGGGGAAATGAGGAGGAGTGAGAAGCACGGCGCAGCCGGCCCTCAACGCAAGGCGTGCACAGAGGCGCAGGCAAGGGTGGGAGGGTAGGGAGCAACGCAGGGAGACCTAAGACAAGACTGTGCTGTGACATGTGACATAGGCGCAGGAGTGCAGGATGACCTAGGTGGTGGTACCATAAGAGCGACGCGTGAGTGAGCGACTGATACGAGCAAGCCGCAGCGACCTGGGTAGATGTAGCTAGGGGGGACGCCCCCACCGGGGGGGATGTAGTGTCCATCGTGAACACGCCAGACACTAGGCTCCGGGGGAACGTGGTAAGGGGGCCACCAGTGGCGGCCTCGGTACAGACTGCGTACCGCTCGTATCCAGGAAACATAGTGGTGACACCGAGGTCCTGAAGAGAGGTGACACCAACTAGGTGCCTAGAGAACGAGGGGATGTACAGACCCGTAAGAGAGCCCGAGGGAAGCGCCGGATATGGAAGGGTGGTGGAACTACACGCAACTACCAGACCTGAGGAAGGATCAGCAAGGGTGACGGCTGCTGGGGCGGCAAGCGGTGTGGTTGCGAAAAAGCAGGCGGACGCACCAGAGTCTAGCATGAAGGAGAGAGCAGCGGTAGCATTAGCAGGCGGAGGCACTAGTGTAGAGCCAAGGCTAAACATGTCAGAAATTTCTATGTGTGACGCAGCAGGGGAGCCTAGACTACACACAGTGGTCACATGTACGCTAGGCAACACAAGGTAATATGGTTTAGTAAGACTAGAGTTATCAGCATACATGGCATACAAGGCAAAGCTAATCTGATCCATATCCATCTCGAAGACCGGCACACGATGATGTAGCAAGCTGGGCCAGTTCGGGAGGTCACGCATGGGACCAAATCGGAGACGGAAGAGGTGATCAAGGCAGCAGTAGCATTAGGTGGTGGTGTGACCAGGACAGCCTCACACAGTGCCACGAAAGGGATCAGACAGGAGCTCGTACTGGCAACTCACAGAGCTGGAGCCGCCACCCAACGTCGAGCAGCCACCATCACTAAAGCCATGGGGCCACCATGGCGGCGGGTGTCCCCACGGCTACTGTTGCTGCTCGTGCTGCTACTGGGGCTGCTGCTGCTGCTGCTGCTCCGTGGCGTCAGCCCCCGCCCCCTCGTTTGCACCGCCTGCGCTCTCACCACTTCCACCTCCCCCGCCCCCCTCGCCACCCCTCCCTCCCTCTCGCCCCCCTCTGGGGCGGCGACCCTTACCCTGACGAGGCTGCGTTGAGGCCGCCACAGCGGTCTCAGCGGCAGGAGCTGTCTCAGCAACAGTGGCAGACACGTCAGAGTAAGTGCACGGGGAGGGAGCACAGCCCTGGAAGGTAGCGACCGGTGCAGTACCGCTAGACTGAGCGATAGTGCAATGGCCGGTCTCCATCGCAGACAGGGCGGTGACAAAGTCGGTAAGGGTGAGATCAGTAGGGTGAAGGCTAAGCAAGGCATCGCGGGTTAGTATGTAAGGGTAGCGCCGAGGGGGGGAGGTAGTACAGTGAGCTGGACCTCAGTGCTAGCATTGCGGTAGATAGTCTCAAGCGCACGCAGGTGGGTGGCAAGATCAGCGATAGTGGGGAAGGAGGCGAGATCAGGGAAGAGCAAGGGTAGGAGGAGACGGCCAGCAGAGGCGGAGGAGGGAGTGGAATAGTGAGCAATAACCGCAGCTAGGTACTCTTGCGCAGCCTCTATGGCTGAAGGCAAGGACGCTCGGATAGGGGGAGAGCGTGACTGATAACAAGCTGCGCAACGGCATCATGCAACTTCCAGACAGAGTGGGCGAGCTCAGTAGCGGTAAAAGCCTCACGCTCAGCAGGCTTGGTGGTGTCAGAAAGGGTAGCAGGTGAGGGGGGGAGGCAGGGCAGCTTACCGTCGACATGGACGGCCAGGGACTTGCCATCGTGGCGGTGACCCTTCAGGTGGCGACGTAGGTCGGCGAGCCACACTACAAAGTCAATAGCCCGACCCTCCGCATTTAGGTGGAGAACAGCGTCCGCCATCACGCACAGCTGCATTGATGAACTTCGAAGGAGGAGCAGGGGGCAGTTGAGTGCGGTGGAGAGCGGTGGGGTGCGGTGGAGTGCGGTGGTGCACGGTGGAGTGCGGTGGGGTGCGGTGGGGTGCGGTGGAGTGCGGTGGAGTGCAGTAGAGTGCGGTGACGCCGCGAGCAAGGAGACAGTCGACGTGGGGAACCAAGGCCGGCGACGTGGATGGGCCGGCAAGGTGAGCTGGGGCGGCGCGACGGGCCAGGGCCAGCGGAGAGCTGGGTGGCGCGGCGATCTGAGGCCGGCGGCAAGCTGGGGCCGGCTGCAAGCTGGGGCCGGCTGCAAGCTGGGCGGCGCATCAAGCTGGGGCCGGCGGCGAGTTGGGCGGCACGACGAGTTGGGGCCGGTGGCGAGGTGAGCGGTGTCGAGCTGGGCGGCGCGGCGGGCCGGGGCTGGCGTCGAGCTAGGGTGGCGTTGCGAGCGGCGGCCGGCGGGCTGGGGCTGGCGTCAAGCGGGGGCGGCATTGAGCTGGGTGGCGCGATGGGCCGGATTCGGCGTCGAGCTAGGGCGGCGCGGCGAGCGAAGGCCGGCGGTGAGCTAGGAGCCACGCGGCGGGCTAGGGCAGCGCGGCGGAACGGGGCCGGCACGGCGAACTAGGGCAGCGTGGCGGGTTAGGGCGGCACGGCGAAATGCGGCCAGCGTGTCGGACTAGGGCGGCGCGACGGACTAGGGCGGCGCGGCGCGGCGGGCTAGGTCGGAACGCTCTACGGTAGGCTATGGCGGAAGCGCTGGTAGGTAGGAGCTACCTAGCGTGATACCATCTTTGCGTAGCAAAGAGACTAGAACAAGGCAATACAGGAGGTTTATAGGGTTGGTGTTGTACCCTCTAAGAACACAACCCTATCTAGCGTATAACTTCTACATATAATGCATATGTATAAGTTCACATATTGAGTCACGCTCCGATCTCGAATCACACTCCAAATTCGTGCGCTGTCAAAATATATTAGCCATGTCACTAGACGTTACCCGTAGCGCTTTGCTTACAAATGATTCTCACGTATCTTTTGCTCAAGTCATTATTCACCTTTTCCGCAACCTCATCCTTGCTACTAGGCCGTTCGGCTACACCTTGAACGCGAATACTAACACTCTTTCAGATAACCAAAACACAAGTAAGATTTCGCGCGTTGAACTCTCGAATCGGCGCGCTCAGGGCACACATCGCAGTTCCAGAATTGCTGCTTGCTTCCCGCCAACTGTCGCCATCTAGGCGTGCATTGGAAGTCTCTCAGAATTCTAAAATTTACCAATCCACTTACCTGCCTCAGGCGCAGACCTGAGCTCCACATGCTTTCCAGCTCGGAGAAGCGGGCCCTGGTTCTTCCATTAGCGCATCGTGTGCCTCAACGGCTCGTTGCCGCGCCTCTGCCGCCAATTGCGATTGCCAGCAGAGATCGTAGCGGGAAAGCGTTCGGGTGTGCCATAGCCAGTGGCAGTGCGAGTCTGCCGCGACTCCTGCGACGCACGTGTACTATTCGTCGTCCTGTCGAGCACACAGATTCTCCAGCCCCATTTCCCTCCACAAATCCTCCCCTTTTCGCCAAAGCCGAGCATTTACTATATCCCGGCGTCAAACGCGCCAATAGCTATCGTTCAGTCGCGAGTCACCGACCCCGTTCCACCGGCGTCACCGCCGCTCACTCTCCCGCCTCGTGGGACCTCGCCGCTGATTCCGGCGCCCTCGGGCTCGGCGCGCAGATGGAGGCAGTGTACTGGGTGGTGTTCGCGGGGCTGCTGGCGCTGTGCGTGGGGCTGGAGGCCAGCAAGGGGCAGCGCGACCGCGTGCCCACGTCGTCGGCGTTCGAGGCGTTCAAGAACAATTACCTCGTCATCTACTGCCTCATGATGGGTGCGCGCCATCCGCCCCTCCCGCGCCCTCGCTTCCCCGCCGCACCTTCGATCCTCCATCAAGTTGCGGCTGCAGGCAGCTGCCCTGGGGCGCACGGAAGCCTGGCAAACGGAATCCTGGCAAACGGAATCCTTTTTCCATGTCTCCGAAGTGTAACCTCTCTGACAGGATCACATACCTCCCGCGCACGCTCACCTGCCACTTCTCCCTCGCGCTTCCCGCAATTCTCGCTCCTCCATCCACACCCCCCCCCCCTGGCTGCCTGTTCGGGTCCCTTCCGCGTGGCCCCTGGCGCAGCGTCAATTCAGTGGCCTCACCCGCCTGCTTGTCCCCCTCTGCTGGGGTTCGCCTCACCCCCTTCCACGTGCACAACTCCCTTGGTGCCCTCTCCTGGTGTGCAGCGGGCGACTGGCTGCAGGGCCCGTACGTGTACGCGCTGTACCAGCACTACGGGTACGACCAGACGGCCATCGCGCGGCTCTTCGTGGCGGGCTTCGCGTCGTCCATGGTGTTCGGCACCATCGTGGGGTCGCTGGCCGACCGACAGTGAGTGCTGGCAGGGCGGGAGTGGGGAGAGGTTGTGTCTTCAAGTGTCCTAAATTCCATGTCACCTCGTGCCGTGCTCTCATACCATGCGCTCATGGCACTAGCTTCCGAGACCATCCTTCTCTATGATTCTCCCCTCCCATGCTTCTCTAACAAATTCACGACCATGTGAGCAGCAACTACTGCTTCACACCATCCTCGTCCTCCGCTCCTGCAACCTTTCTCCCTCTCTATGCCTCCTCCCTCCCACCCCTGCAGTTTCTACCCGTTCCCTTCCTTCCACTGCTCCATCACCATCCATACACGGTCAGATTGGCAGCACGAGCATCGCCCACCTATGTGGGGTTCTCTCTGCCCCATCAGCCCCCTTCTCCCCTCACTCACTCACAATTCTCTGTCCCCTACCCTCTCCACACTCCTCTCTCGCTTCGCCTTCCCCCCCGTCCCCCCCACCAGCGGTCGTCGCAATGCCAGCATAACGTACTGCCTGGCGTACATTCTCTCGTGCCTCACCAAGCACTCGTCCGAGTACCCCGTGCTCATGGCAGGCCGCGTGCTGGGTGGCATTGCCACCTCGCTGCTCTTCTCCGCCTTCGAGAGCTGGCTCGTGGCAGAGCACTGCAAGGTAAGAGGGGGGGAAGGGGGGGGAGGGGAGGGAGGGGGTGAAAGGGGGGTGGGGGAGGGGGAGGAGGATATGCCAATTCTGTATCCTTGTTTCCTGTTTCCTCGCTTTCTCGTTTCCTGGTGTTTCCTCGCTTTCTCGTCCTCATCCCCTCAACCACAAGTGGGACACCTCTATCAGCCTGCACTGCACCACTTCCTGCTACCTACCCACCACATTCGCACTAATGCACACTACTTGTGTGCCTGTCCATTGCACTACCTGCCTTTCTCTCACCCCCCTGTCAATGCCGGTCAGTCCCCAGCAGCTTGTCTGTCAGCTGTTCGTTTCCAGTACCCAGACCCTGTCACACCACACCACCCTCCGCCGTTCCCATGTCTCCTCTCCCATCACATTCCCCACCCCCCTCCCCAACCCCCTCACAGCACGGCTTCGACCCCCAGTGGCTGTCAGTGACCTTCTCCAAGGCCGTCTTCCTGGGCAACGGACTCGTGGCCATTCTCGCGGGTCTACTAGCCAACACCCTAGTGAACAACCTGCACCTGGGGCCAGTGGCGCCGTTTGATGCCGCGGCCGTGCTGCTGGCGGTGGGCATGACGGGCATCATGAGCACGTGGGGGGAGAACTACGGCGACACCAATGAGAGCAAGGGGCTGCTCGTTCAGTTCCAGTCTGCCGCTGCTGCCATCCGAGCAGGTGCCATGGGGGCTCGTGCAGTGCTGGCTGGTGGTGTGGTGTGGGGGTTAGTGGATGCTGGTTAGTGGATACTGGTTAGCGGGTGCTGGTTAGTGGGTGCTGGTTAGTGGATACTGGTGGTGGGATGCTGGGTCGTGGGATGCAATTGCCCTGCACTTTCCTTTGCTCCTCTACAACTCCCTACTGCCATCCATCGCCCTGCCTCCTCCCCTTTTCCGTCGTCATATCTTCCCGTCCCCTCACCGCTGTCCACCATGCTCCCGGCTTATCGTCTGCGTGGCTGCCACCTCCAGATGAGAAGATCGCGCTGCTGGGCGCCATCCAGTCGCTGTTTGAGGCCAGCATGTACACCTTCGTCTTCCTCTGGACGCCCGCCCTGGCGCCGTCCTCACAGCGCATCCCGCACGGCTTCATCTTTGCCTCCTTCATGCTCGCCTCCATGGTCGGCTCCTCCCTCGCCTCGCGCCTCCTCGCCCGCGCATCGTCCTCCTCCACTTCTTCCTCCTCTTCCTCCTGCTCCTCTCATCCTCTGCTGCACGTGGAGGGGTACATGCAGCTGGTGTTCCTGGTGGCCGCCGCTGCTCTCTCCGTGCCCATACTCGTCCATGTGAGGCGCTGCTCTTTGTTGCAAAATCCTCCTCTCTTCCACACTGTGCTCTCCAATGCCCCCTTGCACGAACTATCCCCCCATCAGTCCCTGTCTGATTCGTCCAACCGACACACATTCCACCCTTCGCTCTTTCTATGAGTTTACTCATAGAGGAAGCTCATATGGTTCACCATCCCCCGACTCCTCCAATCCCCTGAAGCCCATTCCTCCTCTCGCACCACCGCCTCTCTCGTTTCCCCTCCCCCACACTGCACTCCCCCGCACCCCACTCCCCCACAGTACTACCTGGAGCCAGTGCCCCCTGAAACCACCAGCATCACAGCGGGCGGGCAGGTGCAGCTGTTGGCGTTCTGCGTGTTTGAGGTGTGCGTGGGCGTCTTCTGGCCGTCAGTGATGGCAATGCGCGCGCGCTACATCCCCGAGGAGGCGCGAGCCACCATCATGAACTGCTTCCGCATCCCGCTCAACGCCTTCGTCTGCCTCATGCTCGCTGATGTGCGTGCCCGGGGGTACATGCTGTGTGCTGTGGTGCATGCTGTGTGCTGTGGTGCATGCTGGGTGCTGTGGTGCATGCTGTGTGCTGTGGTGCATGCTGTGTGCTGTGGTGCATGCTGTGTGCTGTGGTGCATGCTGTGTGCTGTGGTGCATGCTGTGTGCTGTGGTGCATGCTGTGTGCTGTGGTGCATGCTGTGTGCTGTGGTGCATGCTGTGTGCTGTGGTGCATGCTGTGTGCTGTGGTGCATGCTGTGTGCTGTGGTGCATGCTGTGTGCTGTGGTGCATGCTGTGTGCTGTGGTGCATGCTGTGTGCTGTGGTGCATGCTGTGTGCTGTGGTCCATGCTGGGTGCTGTGGTGCATGCTGTGTGCTGTGGTGCATGCTGTGTGCTGTGGTGCATGCTGTGTGCTGTGGTGCATGCTGGGTGCTGTGGTGCATGCTGTGTGCTGTGGTGCATGCTGTGTGCTGTGGTCCATGCTGGGTGCTGTGGTGCATGCTGTGTGCTGTGGTCCATGCTGGGTGCTGTGGTGCATGCTGTGTGCTGTGGTGCATGCTGTGTGCTGTGGTGCATGCTGTGTGCTGTGGTGCATGCTGTGTGCTGTGGTGCATGCTGTGTGCTGTGGTGCATGCTGTGTGCTGTGGTGCATGCTGTGTGCTGTGGTGCATGCTGTGTGCTGTGGTCCATGCTGTGCTGCCACTATGGTGCATGGTCCTGCTGGCGTGGGTGTGCGTTGCTAGTGTGGGTATGCGTTGCTCGTGCGGGTATGCGTTACTAGTGTGAGTATGCATTACTGGTATGGGTGTACGTTATTAGTTAGGGTATGCGTTGCTAGTGTGGGTATACGTTGCTAGTGTGAGTATATCCTGCTGGTAGAGGTGTATTCTGCAGTGTGGTTACAATAGCACTTATTTCGGTTGTGTGAATGCCTTAATCCGGTTGTGTGAATGCCTTAATCCGGTTGTTTGAATGCCTTAATCCACAGAGATTGCCAGCATTACCGCCTCTTTTCCGTGAACACCTGTCCATAGCCCACTTTCCGTCCCCTCACCTCCTCCCCCCTTCTCTGCTGGCTGCTGCTC